AAACAATAAAGACTGCAAACTTTCTCAGAGTTGTGCATACTGGCTTGGGAATGCGGTGCGGCATGATGCGGCCAGCATCTTCGCGCCTTGCAACTTCAGCTCAGTTTGCATGAATATAACCAATAAAACATCACAGTACTAGAGAAGCAGTCTGTATGAGGAAGTAACATGAAAGCTTAACAACTAACTCCAGGGTGGGCCTCACTTTGAGCCAGGACCCCCAAAGCGGCTTGCTGTTGATAACGTTTTGTTGGCTTAGATGCGACGGAGCGAAGCGACCGGATCGTCTAAGGCTGGTTCTGTGGTGCTGTCGTACAACTGGGTCGCAGTGGCGACTTCATTCTTGCTGCTCTCCTGGTGAAGTCATTATGCCTTCACGCAGAAGAGCATACAGCCTTGTCCAACTAGTCAGCGTGACAGGCTGTACTTGGACCCCCAAACCGGCTTGCTGTTGATAACGTCTTGCATGTTGATACGCTTTATGCGGACTTGTCCCCCAGTAGGTTCTGCAGATTGCATACAGATTACGTTCGGGTCTTATTCAAAGTGTCCCGAACTTCGTCTTGGAAGACGCCCACCTTCTTAAGCGCAAGCTATTAACAGCCCGACGACCGTTTGTTATCTCTTCCAGAATGGCATCCGATGGTGCCCTGGGTGTGGATGTGCATGGGCCGGACAAGGTAAGAACGGGCTTGGACTGCGTCTGACTGAAGAACTGGCACCAATGGTGCACGTTTCTCACATTTACACCAAGTCGCGTTCCATGCCTGTTCTATTCCCAATGGTGTTAACCTTCTGCAGAAGCGTCAAAAGCTGGCAAAATTGACGGGGTTGGGCTTCGCCAGGGACATGGCCGAAGTCATCGTGGAAACGCTTGGGATGGACCCCATCGGGCAGTCGGCCGATGCCGGAGCATGACTTCCTTGTGTTTGAGTTTGGTTAGCTATGGGACGCGACTTATAAGCAGAACTTCCTTGTGTTTGAGTTTGGTTAGCAATGGGACGCGACTTGCAAGCAGGACTTCCTTGTGTTTGAGTTTGGTTAGCTATGGGAAGCGACTTGCAAGCAGAACTTCCTTGTGTTTGAGTTTGGTTAGCTATGGGACGCGACTTGCAAGCAGAACTTCCTTGTGTTTGAGTTTGGTTTGCTATGGGACGCGACTTATAAGCAGAACTTCCTTGTGTTTGAGTTTGGTTAGCTATGGGACGCGACTTGCAAGCAGAACTTCCTTGTGTTTGAGTTTGGTTTGCTATGGGACGCGACTTGCAAGCAGAACTTCCTTGTGTTTGAGTTTGGTTAGCAATGGGACGCGACTTATATGCAGGACTTCCTTGTGTTTGAGTTTGGTTTGCTATGGGACGCAACTTGCAAGCAGAACTTCCTTGTGTTTGAGTTTGGTTTGCTATGGGACGCGACTTGCAAGCAGAACCTCCTTGTGTTTGTTTGAGTTTCCATGTAAGCAACTATGGACAACTAAACCATCCTGTTTTGCAGTCCTGTCAGTTTCCAAGTTCTGCACCTGCAGCCTCATTTTACAGCAGAACACCCAATTCTAATCCTCCAACTGTGTTCCCAATCCTATGGCAGAGACCTAATCCTAAACTTGCGAAAGCCTGCAATCCCCGTCCTGTCGACCAGGGTCCCATCCCCATCCCTGGCCAGGGCTCCCAATCCCCTCCTTGGTCAAGGTTGCAATCCCCATCCCTCAGACAGGGATCCCATCCCCATCCTCACCCCCGACAGCAATCCCCATCCCAAAAGTAGTGTAGCACGCCTAATCCCTAATCCTCGCCCTGGGCCCCACATCCCATCCTGACGTCGTCAACCCTATTCCCCATCCCGCCTGACCAGTACCTGCCCCCAATCCCCCATCTCTGCAACCCTCTGCTCGTACGTTTTATGTCAAAACCTGCCACTTCACATTGGGAGGCTGCCAAGTCCGTCTTCCGGTACGTTAAGAGCACATTAGCGTATGGTATTGTTTATTGCGGTTCGCAGTCTTTGGTGGGATATGCGGATTCTTTGGTGGAGTATGCGGATTCGGACTGGGCCAGTGACCCAGATAGTCGGCGGTCCACCACTGGCTACGTCTTGATTCTGAATGGGGGCGCCATAAGTTGGAAGAGCAGACTACAACCTACTGTCGCTGCATCGTCGGTACATGGCTGCTTCGTCAGCAACGCGGGAGGCGGTTTGGTTGCGTGAGTTGATGAGGGATTTGGGCTACGAGGTACAGGCCATTGAGATCAAGGACGATAGTCAAGGTGCTATTGCCCTGATCCGCAACCCCATCACGTCGGAGCGGTCAAAGCACATAGACGTGATCCACCACTTTGTTCGAGAAAAGGAGAGTTCGGGTAGTGTGTCATTCCAGTATTGCCCTTCTCACGATATGGTTGCAGATGTGCTAACGTAGCCGTTGGCTCTGGCCAAGTTTTCGAAATTCCGAGAGTGCATGGGAGTTCGTTGCGTTTTCTTCTGGGGTGTGCCAGAGTTCTGTCCGCGGGGGAGTGTTGATATCTCGTCCAGAACTCCTGCATATCGTAGTTTGGCGGGTCCTGTACTGGTTCTGGAGCCGACTTCCGAGATTTACTTTGTATTTATGGCAGGGTCTTGCCTTTTGATCTCCGCTCTAATCCCAGACCTATGTAACGTATATCGAGGTGATCGCTCTGTATTCGCTGCTTAGTTTCTCAAAAGGGTCAGTGTGGGCCGAGCCGGTCTTGCCTTGCCATTAATGCAACTGTAACCCTCCTGATACGGTATCAGTGATACCTATTAGGATTTTTAAATATTAATGTTCTCATTAAGAAAACTTTTTAATTTGTCATTACGGTGTATTGGGCTCCAGATATCGGTCAGGGGGTGATGGGCATCCGCTACCGCCAGGTGAACTGCCCCGGCGGCTTCGTGCCATCACCCAGGAAGGCCACGTCGGACTACCTGGCGGGCACGGGGCAGTGATGACGAGGGGGAGGGAGGGAGGGAGAGAGGGAGGGAGGGAGGGAGAGAGGTGGTAGGGTGGGGAGGGAGGGAGAGATGGGCGGTTTAGCTTTTAAAATACGCTGAATAATGTTTTGAATTGCATGTTGGGGGACGAGGGTTTCACGTTGCTGCCTTTTGAGAGATGATTGTTCAGTTCATGTTTCCAATGAAAAGACGGCAGCGGCGGGAACTGAGCATAGCTGCTATCCTAGTTTTCAGCCCGTGGACATCACACGTGGATTTTCGGGACATGTTTTTTTGAGCGCTGCAAAGGCTCTGCATTGTCATGGGACAACGTATGAAGCATGGCGGTGGTGTTGGGAGTGCGGTGTTTGGCATATGCTCGCATGCACTCATCCTGATCCTTGTACTGTAAGGAGAATCCAGAAGCTTCTCGTACACGTGATTCGTTTTGCATGTGCGCGCGGTGCAACAAGCTTGCACTCAGTTTCATTTTAAACTACCTACCAACCTACGTGCCTCCCTACTTACTTGCCTACCTATCTATCCACCTACCTCTCTACCTGCCTTCCTACCTATCCAGCTACCTACCTACCTAATTTAAAGTAGAGGGCTGTCGATGAATTATGTTTCCTCACCTCCGGTAATGACGGCTGAGATGTTAACACAGTCGAGCCATGTGCTATATCCGCGGTCAGTCAATTTGCAAATGCTAATATGCTGAGTGCATTAGCAGTCCAAATTAGCAGTCCTTCAGCGACCATCATGACTCCTAGCTGCTGCTGTGACGTGCGGAGGCCTTCCTTGGAACGCTGCACTAGGGCTGCACTCGACCCAATCGCAAACTGTTGTGAGCATTGGCGACAACGTTTTGGACACATGTCTGTGTCGACGTGCTAGGTAGATATCATGATAACATGTCGTCTTCTTGGCGAGATTCCAACGCATCCTGTAGCTTCGTTAGCGAGGTGCTGGAGGGACCGTCTTTAGATCGTCGAACAACGTCGTTTGATGTATTGGTCCGCTGCTGTCGATCAGCATGCGCAGCCTAGCTGTGTCGTCCTTCCGGCTCCTCTCGCGGTCCATATACACGGATAACCTTTGGGAGTCATCATATTTTCATGGCGTGCTGTCGGCGACTTGCACATTTCCACTGTTCAATAAATTTAGGTGCAGGACAGGAGATAGACTGGGCCTGGTGCAGTGTGGTACATAACGGGCTCGCCTTTGTTCGTAACACTTAAGGGTGTGTTCACATGTAGTCCAATTGAGAGTCTGATTGGGAGTCCGATTCGGGGCGGCTTTCTGAATTGTGTTCACATACGATTGCGGCCACCGCGCGAGGTGCCACCGCGCCCAGCTGAAGCTCCGCGGCTACGCCCCATCACCCAAGGCAAGCCAGCATTATCTAGGAACAGAACAGTATAAGTATCGTTTCTATGGCGAAAATTATCACCAGGCTTGTACATACATAGCTGCAGGAGTTCGTGAAAAATGCTCGGTGCGCTTTGCGTGAATTAACAATTGGAAAATGTTCATATAGTATTGTAATGGTAATTATGAGAAACGGTTTGTTAAACAACTTTGTTTTGAGAAAGAAAACTGTGAATCACGTCGAATCATACCCGAAGAGGCCCCCCCGGACCCCAATTCCGATTCGGGTCCAATCAGGTCCAATTCAGAGTCCAATTCGCATGAATCAACCCTGATTCGCCCACATGTGAACACGTCCTAAGGCCTTTCGTTAGCGACCATAACAGTGTTTGAGTTGAGTTGACTCAGCAGCAAATCGGTGATGATCTGTTCGGACCCTCTTGAACCCGCTGTAACCTCAGTCATTCTTTTAATGACTCGACCAAGTCCTGGCCTACGTTTGAACGAAGTGCTTTTTTTAGCATGAGATGCGCTCGATCGTGCTCGATTCGGCCCGATCCCGGTTCGCAACAAACAGCGCGCAAGCGCAGATCTGAGAGCGGCAGCAGGGCTGCTGCCTGCAAATCAGTGCAACTGAACATCTCTCCATTCGTAAAAAGCGGTTGTACACAGCGACCGCCATGCATGATTTTTGGTACGACTGCACGGCAGTCTACGAAGCGGCGCGGCCAGGTCGAATACAAAACGCATCTATTCTGTACAGAACAATTCGTGACGGCTTCGCATCTCTTAGATACCGCGAAGAGCAACCTCCGTCGCCTTCGGGCATCGTGATCTGCGGTGGCAGTGAGCGTACCGGTATTGTATTGGTTTATTCTCGCCACCCGTCTTGATGTTATTAGCGTTTGCTCCGATATTTACGTTTTTCTAAAATACATTCTTATCTCAGCAAGATCTTACGTGGTTTTAAGGTGAGGAAGCGGCCTAGCTGTTTTTTTGGTTATTGTTGGCTATCGCGATTCGCGAGTACACTGTTTTTGCAAGCAGTCGCAGCTTGACACTTTGACTTATTCGCTTGATGCGAGGGTTATTAAAACAATTATCTATGCGCTTTTTCCTTTCATCCTTTCAGATCTCGGTGTCCCTGCCGACCTCGCATCGCTTTCTTGTCGACGCGAAAGACATTACCGCGTGCGTCTCCATTTTCGTCCATCAGCTCCAGCCTTCTGTACTCTGGGCAGCGCCTTTTTCACCTGTAATTCTTTTTGTCCAAGGCTTTTTAAAATGGATTCTCAAAATGCCGCCACCACATCCGCTGTCCGCACCACCTCCAGCTGCCGCCGTGATGATGACGACATCGCCCCCACCCAGCGCTGCTGCCCCACCTCCACCTCCTCCTCAAGCTGCAGCCGCTGCAGCAGCAGAAGCATCAACAACATTAGCAGTAATATTAATCGCCCCTTCGTGTCTACTACCACCACCAGCTCGAGGCAGCTGTCCGCGCTGATGCTGCTCTCCGCCCTGTTACCCTTCTCTGTGCGCGCCGACGACTGGCACACGGGTCGAGCCACATACTACGGCTACGATGGAGGTGCGTGGACGTGAACATGCAGCTGCAGAATAAGACGAGGGCTATCAAATTTGAGCGGTGTCGATTTGATGTGGTTCAATGTGGCTCCTCCCACCTAGCCAACATCACCTTGGCCGATAATTCGGATATGGGTCGATTTAATCTGGATTACCCTAGGGCTGTTCCCTCGCTGTTCGTGTGTGCCTATGCATAACGATACCTACCTGCTTCCCTCCCTACCCTCCCGTATCCTTCCCGTACCCATAAGCGATTCCGCATTACCTCCTCCCCCCTCACGCCTTTTGGTCAGTTCTAGTTCTGGTACACTCTTGCCCTGGCAGCAGCTTCACTCGTTTGTGGTTCGTCTTTTCCCCCTCCTCCTCCCTCTTCCCTCCTCCCTCCCTTCTCCTCAGGCGCCAGCATCGACCAGGGTTCTTGCATGTACGGCCCCCTTCCCAACAGCATGGTCAGCACGGGAAAGAACATCGCCGCCCTCTCAGATCAGGATTACGACTTCGGGGGGAGCTGCGGGTGAGAAGAGTGGCGGGCAGGGGGCCCGGTGGATGTGATTGGGTGGTTTGCATTTGTATGCGTGGCGAATGTCAGTGAATGCCTCTCCCTCCTGACCCTGGTCCATCCTGCCGCTGTTGCGGCCGCTGCTTCATTGCCTTGCCTCAGTCGCTGCTACGAGGTCGCTTGCAACCCGGCCGCCTTCTCCGACGGCTACGGCAACTACATCGACCGCAACTCCGGATGCTACGACGATTCCAAGACCGTCATTGTCACCATCACCGACTCCTGGTAGGTGGACCGCTGTCGCGGTGAGGGCCGGGCGGGCGGGCGGGCCGGGCAGCTGGGCTGACAAAGGTCGCTCGGAACGAGGACTTTCTGTTGGTGATTGTGTACTCCTGAGTACGAAACACATGAGTATTAAAGGTGTGCGCAAATTGCTGCCTCGCTTTATCGGACCCTTCGTGGTTAAGGAAAAGATCAACGCGGTTGCGTATCGGTTGGATCTTCCTCCTGCTGTACGGATACATGATGTATTTTCATGTGTCACTCCTTCGTCCGACCTCTCAAAACCCAACCGTCCCCCTGCCCCCCTCCTCTCCACAGCCCCTGCAACTACCCGGGTAACCAGTACTCCAACCGCCGCTGGTGCTGTGGCGACATGTACCACATGGTGAGTACGACAATGGACAAGGGGGGGAAGGCTAGCAGGGGAAGCGCCAGGAGCCCATGACATGACAAAACCTTTATGTCCCAACTCAATGCTCTGGCTCTATGATTGGCACCAATTTCCTGGTTCTGTCTCTCCCATCCAGCGATTTCCCTCCGCGCCCTCCCCCTCCCGACTCGTCAGGACCTGAGCCAGGACGCCTTCTCCCAGCTCGCCGACATCGGTCAGGGGGTGATGGGCATCCGCTACCGCCAGGTGAACTGCCCCGGCGGCTTCGTGCCATCACCCAGGAAGGCCACGTCGGACTACCTGGCGGGCACGGGGCAGTGACGTTTGCAAAACACCAAAGGATGTGAGGCGAATGCAGTTTATAGCGCTGACGGTCCACAGCTGCTATGAAGTGGATATGCATGATGATGTTGTTGTTGTTGCTGCTGCTGATGCTGTTTCAGTGGCCGGGGCGGCCGTTTTGGGGGAATGTGTGCAGCGCGGCGTGGGGAGAAGGGCGCGCGAGGGAGATGTGGACACGGTTGTATGAGTCCTCAAGGGGGATGCCCTAAAAGACGGCGGCCGCAATTTGTATAGCTGGGTTGTCGTACAGTAGAACTACAAAACGCAACCATACGATAAATAAGCAACAGTGCGGCATAATAGAAAAGGGAACTTTGTCTGAAAGGGTACTTCAGAGCAGGACCTGCTGCATGTATGATGAGGCAGGATTGAGCATTCATTCAAAAACGCTTTCGTACGTAGCATAATAAGTACTCATGCCATGTACTACTAGTGGAGAAGTGGAGCATTCAGAAAAAAGTAGAGGGGGAGTCCTTGTCGCGCGGAGGGTTGCTGTTTTCCTTTCCTTGACTACGACTCCTGCCCACATGTCTAGTTCCTGCGGGGCGAACATACAATCGCCCTGAGCTATTAGCTTCATCGCCCAGCGGTCTTTCAGCGGCCTTTTAGCATGTTGCATGTTGGAAGTTTTTGCCTAGGGTTAGAAAACAATTGGCTTTTGCGTTATTAGGCCGGGTCGAAAAGTAGGTCGATGTGGGCTGCTAATGTACATATCTTTACCTCGGCTTGGTTTCGTGTGTTGCATGATGCTGTGCCAGTGCTGCAATCATGGCACTGGTCACAGGGTGGTCAAGGAAGTACCCTTTCAAGTTTCATATTGCGAAGGGGAGCATTTTGTAATGGTACGATGTGTACAGGTTTCAAACTCTTTTGAGTCAGGCAACTCAACAAACAACTTAACACCTACACTGCCTAAAGACAGCGGAAAGTCGTTCACGCTCCCAAAGGCGGCTTTTCAGGTCCATACTGTGTTGATGTGCGCGGTAGCGCTCGTTTAGGGCGTTGCACACATACGAGCCGGTCGGCCTCCAACTACGACTACAAGTTGTTCTTCTTGTGGATGTAGTTACAACTACATCTACAACAAGTATATTTCGGGAGCCGCAGCCGTCGTGTGGCCAAGACATGCTAAGGTTTTCATTCCCCGTTTAGCACATCGTAAGCGTATGCAGTTTCGTTTATGTTGCTGGGCTTTGGAGGCAAACAGAGCACGAAAGGGCAAGTACCATGTCCCCAGGGAGCAGCGGTTTTGCCGCTGTTCTGGTACCAATAGCCGAATCGAGGATGGAAAACACGTGTTATTGGAATGCCCAGCCTATAATGATATTCGTGCTGAAGAGGGATTCGATCATCAACAGAGCATGTTGGAGGCCATGAAACGACGTCGACGAGGATGTTGAAACGTATGTGGGCTCACCGAAACTCGTTATCCCCTTTGGACGCTAGTCTGGGCTGATGTGCAGTGTTTCCTGTTCTCCGTGCCGTATAGATATTGTTGCCCTTGGGCCTTCGGCTTGTATGAGTAGTTTTACAGGTATGGGGTCACGCATCCCCAACCATGACAGACAGACAGACAGACACACACACAAGTACATAGTCAACCTCGGCCAGCTGTATCACTGTATGCCGTGTTGACATTAGAGCTCATCGGTACCATATATGGCCAAGCCCCTCCATCAAGGACGGGACAACGGCGCAATGCCCTGATGATGACTTCGTAACGTGGCAAAGCTGAGCACCGTAGAAAGCTGTAAAGCTGCCCATATGTATGCAACGCACGCACCACAGCGGGGTTATGCATGACAGGGCATAAATCAGGGCCCAGTGGAAAATAGGGCGCAGCGCTGGCGGATCAGTCGCTTGTGGTGCCATGCCCGACAGCCCGCGGGATGTGAAATCAGCACAGCAGTCACAGCAGCTACTTGCATGTGGGAAAGCCGGTGGCGCCCTTCCACAGCCACAGCCTACCTCTCCTGCTGTACCTAAAAAATTTTCTCTTTTATGCAGTTCTTAGCCGCGGTCTAAAGCCGTGCTAAGTTCGGTAGGACCCACAGAGGAACAGAGCTTTTGAATCGCATAGACGGTCATGCGGCGTCTCTTTCCTTTCCTTAGGAGAGCTAAAGGTGCTGAGCTCCGATAAGGTTGGAAAAGTAAATCGCAAAAGTTGACTACCTTGCTGCTTGCTCAGCAGGTCGCTTTAACAATAGAGGGCCAGCCGCACCAGGAAATCCTACAAGTTGTTATTGGTAAATGCTGTTCATGGCTTGGAGTACTGCGTGCGTTGCATGCGTTGACTGGGACGGGAACGGACGTTGGCGGCTTGTGCGGTGCGGCGCGGCGCGGCGCGGTTGCCGTTGCGCAACTTCCAAATTTGCGAAATTCGTATACATCTGTCTCCCTCTGTGATGCGCGAAACAGCGTGAACATGTCTTTTCGGTACATTCCTCTGAAAAACCTTACATCGTTTCTTAAAATACCAAAGACAGATCGCTTTTCCGCGCGCGCGCGCCCATTTCGTAGATTATGGTCTGTCTTGCCCATTCCAAGGCCAATGTGGGCACTGCTATTACTTCTTCAGTTACCGCTCCATTCGCAATTGATGCAAGTGCAGCTAACCTCAAATGCAGCAATCAACAACAAAGGACCCGCGCGCGATGTCGTACATTTCCACGCAGCCATCCGCCGTCCAAGTCATAAGCTCCTGTGACATCCAAAAATGCACAATACAGTCGGTCACAACGTCCTTTTAAAAGTGGCTCTCTTTGCACGTTGTTTGTTCCGGCCTCAAACATCCCGGGAGCAGACCGTGACGTCGCCTGCGCCGAAGCCGCTGGATTGAACATCCAAGCCGCTCTCACCTGCTGTACTGGCGCACCCAGATTCACGGCGTTTTTAATAACGTCAATAGACCGCACCATCGACAGGGCTTCTGAAGGTGAGGCGGCACCGTGCTAGCTCTTTATTGGCTCAGGAGAGAAGTGCGCGACGCTTTGCCATTCTTAAATGGCTTATTCTGGGCCGCCGCCGCCGCCGCCGCCTTGGCGCAGCCCCATTCTACCGCATTGTCGCCCATTCGAACATTGTTTTGGGAACGTGCAGGTCGTTCGTCGAAACACCCAATCGTCAGCTAGCTTGCGAGGGCGCGCCCTGAAAGACGCGGTTCAGCCTAGCAGCTTTCCGCCAGCAGCCAGCAGCCAGGCTTACTTGAGAAACAGCCGCCTTGCCAATCCATTGCGTCTGTGCTTTTCGGTATATTTTCTAACTCGTGCCAGCTCAGCGGCAGTCTCTTTAAATAAAAGTTCCGTCAGCCGATTGGAATCTCGCTGATTATCATTTCCTTTCCTTTCATTCTCGTCAAAATACCATCCTTTATCATTCCCAGCTATCCCGCTACCTTCGCCGTCAAGCCAAAGGCAGCGCAGCACGCAAGGCGCAAGCCATCCGGCTGCAGACAGGAACTGAAAGGCAAATACGGGACAGGGACAGGCTGGTGTTCGCGCGTGCGTGCGTGCGTGTGTGTGTGCGTGCGTGCATTTCGCGACCTCTAAGCGCGTATGTAAGCATCTTGGCAGCCACCTAAGTACCCCATCACGGTAACCACCTTCCTCTAGTGCTTCTCTAGGAAGTTTCGTCGCTTTCTCACCAAATCAAAGCGGCTCGGGGCTCTATCTGGCAGCCCAAGTTTATAATAAAAATGTCGGCCCCACCAGCAGCGCCGTCTCTGTCTCTGTCCATGTCGCGGTTCTCGCTGACATCATTCCTCGCGCGTTCTGCGTTACGTTATTCCCAGCAACCTCCTTCGTACGAAAACGGTACGGTGCGACCGGGCACTGGGCGCGCGTCGGGTCACGATGGTGGCGATGGCAGGGCTGCAGGACCGGGTACCGGCGTGCCGCCGTCGCGGCCGCAGATGCGCCGCTTTTCACGGCTCTCCCGCACCGCCGCGGCTTCCGTCGCCACCACCACCACCGCCACTATCCCCACCACAATCAGCACCTCTTCTGCCGCCGCGGTGTCGTTGGCCGCGCTGGTCATTATATGGTTAGGCTGCCTTACTTCAAGAGCGGCAGCCGACGACGGGGATTGGTACGACGGTCGGGCCACGTGGTACGGATCTATTGCAGGTGCGAATGAGGGCATTGAAGATGAGGGCATGATGCGAGAGAGAGTAGGGAAGCGGAGATAATCTTGTTTTGGGGAGTTGTTAAGGAGAAAGAGGAAAAGCCAATGGAAAGGGATTTTATGAATGCAAAGTGGAAATGAAGGGGGCAGTGTGTGGCGACAAGACCGTCAAGAAGGTTGGTTGTCGTGCAAGAGGTTTAGAGCAGTTAGAGCACACCAGGTTGAACGCGCATAGCAGGGTTAGTGCTCAGGTTGTAGACTTATAGATTAGGTAGGTAGATAGGCATGTACATAGATAGGCATGTAGATGGATAGATACATTAGATAGACGGATAGGTAGAAGATAGATGGATAGATCGATGGATGGTAGATAGATGGATAGATAGATGTTTTGCTGGGCAGGACCTGTGCAGGACTCTCTGAACCAGGAATCAGCTTTAGTCCGTAAGTCACCTGTGCGCATTTTTGCCGCTGGAAGAGGCCAGGCGGCAATTGTTTGCGGGGCGTAGTTGCAATCGTTTCACTCCCGCCTGCTCTCCCTCCCTCCCCGCCCCGAGCATGTATGTATGTATGTAGGTGGCAACATTAACGAAGGCTCCTGCATGTACGGCGCGCTGCCCAACAGTCTAGTCAGCACTGGAGCCTTCATTGTTGTGAGTAGCGCAGGTCGCTCGGTGACGTCCCATGCGCACCCGTTTGCTGACGTCACGTGTGCGTGCAGCTGTGTTGAACAGGGACTAGCCCTCCAGCTGGGCTCATCTCAAAAGACCATAAGGCGAAAGTAAATCATTTGGCCTTAATTGTTATTTCGCCATCATTGTCGTGATGGTGCTAAAAGGTTCGCTGCTTATTACTTTCTGTTTTTCTCGCCGCTTTTAGCGCCTCCATCGCCCCCACTGTTGAGGTCGTCTTGGCCCTCCCCCTCCCCCCCCCCCCGCGCGGTACATCAGGCCTTGAGCGACCAAAACAACGACTTCGCTGGCTCATGCGGGTGGGTGAGCTGCTTGGGCGAGTGGCTGCTTGGCCGACCACCGGGGCACTGCTGTGCTTTCTGCTTCTTGCAGAGTTGGCAGTTGGCAGTTGGCAGTTGGCAGTTGGCAGACAGTCCTAGGGGAAATTCGAGTCACGTCCCGAAGGGCTTCAGAGGCTGATAACTACTGGTGGCAGTAGTAGAACTAGCAATAGAAGTAGCAATAGTAGTAGTAGTTAATAATAGCAGTCGCCAAACCGTTTTTTTTAGGAGGACGGCTATGTGCCTGATGAGGTGTACGGTGTACGTCTGAATCTCTCTTTCCCCAGAAGATTCCCCAGGACCCCAACGCACGATGCCGTACCCTGCCGTACCCTGCCACAGTCGCTGTTACGAGGTTGCCTGTAAACCAACCACCTTCACTGACGGATACGGCGAACACATTGACCGCAAGGACGGCTGTCTGGACCCTTCTAAGTCCGTCATCGTCACCGTAACCGACTCATGGTGAGAACCAGCCGGTTCGGAAAGCAGCCACCTCAATCGTTGTGATCGTGTTGATTCAAACCACAGAAAAGGAGAGAAATAGGAAACCGTTAGAAGTCGTTGTCCAAAACAAAAGAACCCTAAGTCCTCGCGGACACCTAGCTAAGTAATAGATATGGCGCACTTTTGTCCTTTTGCCCTTCGCATGCAGTAAATCGTCTTCCCTCCCTCACCTGGCCCCCACTGCGCTGCGCCCCCTTCTCCCTCCACCCTTTCTACACTCCTACTCCCCCCCAACCCCCGCCACCGCTCTTCATTCACAGCCCTTGCGATTACCCGGCCAATGCTTACTCCAACCGCCGCTGGTGCTGTGGCGACATGTACCACATGGTGAGTACGACGAAAGGTGGTTTTAGCTTTAGTTTTACGAGAATCAGGCCGAAGGACGGACGGACAGACAGACAGACAAAGAGACACCTAGGACATTAATAGGCCTGTCGTACGATATACGGCTGACGTGCCATCGCTCCAGGAAGGGCGCCGACGGGTGACGCCGCAAAACAGTACATGAAAACCTCCCAAACTGCAGTACATTAAAAACTTTCAAACTTCCAACTTCCAACTTCCAACTTCCAACGTTACCCTGAGGGGCCCCCACCGTCCCGGTACGGGCTCCCGGACTCCCGGACTCTTCTCAAGTCCCCCCTCCCTTCCCCTCCCATCATACTTTCCTCCCCCCTTTCCCCCCGCATTTTGGCATCAATGTCCCCCGCATCGCATCACGTTAAATCCAAGGACCTAAGCGACCTGGCTTTCGGCAAGGTGAGAGGATGCGTCATGTGTACGGGTGTACGGCTTTGGTTGCGAAACGTAACGTAACGCTCACGCCATCTGCCGCCCAGGAGCAAAGCGGTTGTGCACGTTTTCGTCGAGTTCACTGACCGGAGGCTGCAAATGATTTGGGTTTTCTTGGGGGGCCGTGGACGTGGTTGGAGTTTTAGGGGGATGAGGCGGGGTGTGTGGGGGTATCTATCGAGGGAGCCGAAGGCCTTTGATTCCCCATGGCACATGTAACGCATGTATTGTTGTCGGGTGGGCTGTCGGTACCCGCCTTGCAATAGATGGAACACATCACTAAAACTCCTACGACACGTACGACACGTACGACACGTACGACACGTACGACACGTACGACACGTACGACATACACAGCACTCTCCTGGATTTCCGTTTCTGCCTCGAACTAGATTCAGCCTCGATTCAGTCCTGTGTGCTCCCACTTTTGTACATTCATTCGTACGTACATTCCACTCTTTCCTTTTTTTCCGTCCCTGACACTTCCTCCTGATGCATAAATCATGTATGTCAACCCGCGCCATCGCAACCTCCGTTGTTGCCGTATGTGTACGGCAGCTGGCGGATCTGTCTCTGGGCGTAATCGGGATCCGGTACCGCCGTGTCGGATGCCCGGGGGGGTTCGTACCCTCCCCACGGGAAGCATCTGGAGATTTCCCGGCCGGGACACGCAAGAGTCACCTCCGCCGCCTCTTTGGGCGCTGAAAAGAAGCTCCCGGTTCGCGGCTCAGAAACGTTCCGCGGCTTTCCCTTAACTACATTTGTTGGTTTTTCCTGGAGCCTTTTTCTTCTTTTTCCTGTCGTCATCTTTTGCTTTTCATTTTGTTTTTCTTTCCGTTCGCCTTCTCCACTTCTATCAGCTGTGTGCTAGGAATGTATGTTGGAATTTCCAGGAGTTCTGTCACACAGGCGAACCTGCTTTCGCGCATCTGCGAAGTGTCAGCCGGCAGCAGCAGGTTTTCCATGTCGTGTGTAAGGTGTAAGGCACCAAGGCGAAAAGTGGGTATCCCGTGGCCATGGCCAAGGCAACCCAAGACGGGGCTTTGTTCGCCGTTTAGAAAAAGCTTGGAAAGGGAGTTTAAGCGGAAGAGGTGAGGTGCGGGAGGAGGTGCGGTGTGTTGTCCCAGAGCCGTACAAGTTCGTACAAGGTGCCTTACGCTGCGTTTACCAGAAGTGGTCGTATATGTATGTTAAAAAAAAGGGGGATTTGTTGCGATGTGAAGCGCGGGTTTTAATCTTGCGACCGTGTCCATTTTCGTGGGGTACGGCAGTACTTGCCGTACCTCCTGGTATGTACGTGCTGTATGTTTTGTATGTACGTATGAATGTGTCCTAGGGCGCACATAACGTCCTTGTGAAGGTGCCAGTAATGATGATGATAATGTCGATGATGATCATAATGATGGTGATGGTGGTACGTGCAACAGTGGGCGTGATGGTGAGAGGATGGTGATGACGATGAAAGGGCATTGATGGTGGGAGCAATGGCGGAGGGGGTTATGAAAAAACGCAGATGATATGTTACGGCGGCATTGGTGTCGATGTTGATATTGAGATTGAAGCTCAAAAAAATGTTGAAACTCTCAAAAACCGTTGATTTTTTTTTCATGTTTTGGAGGACAGCTCATCTGAATGGGGTTTCAAAGCCCCGCCTGTGGTTCTCCTGAGTGAAGCCTGTGGGAACCTGTCGTACACAAGGGAGACGGAGATGGAACGGCAGGAGTATACGTATCAGTATGTACGTCACGCGGCGGTACAAGGTATGAGAAAGTCAACTGCGAGGGGTGTGGGGCGGCATCGTGCTGAGAGCCCCCAGAAGACCGAGGGAGGCCTGGCCTAAGTCAGGTCCTGCCAGAAGCCGGGGTAACGGAGTGCGGCGTGGGAATAACTTGGGGGGCGGGGGTAAGAACTACAAGAAGTATGTATGTACGTATGTGTGTGTATGGGGGAGAGCCGAGGGAAAATGATCAAGGAAATGGAAATGGCATTGCGGCGCGAGCAAGCGAGGCCGCGGCCCAAGTGTGAGTCTTGACGACCTGGCGGCGGCAGGCCCCGTTTTCCCTGTTGTAGGGCTTATGGCTTTGCTGCCGCCGGTGTGTCTCTTTCATCGATCATACTTGGCTTATGGGCACATCACAGCCCACGCAAAACAGCGGGCGACGCGGCGCTCATCCTGGCGTGCGTGCTTTCGTTTATGCAGTTCTTATCCTGCGTTTAGCAACGAGCTTTCTTATGATGAACTTTTTCTTTATGATTTCTTATCTGCTCTGGGTTGCCTTCGGTACTATATTCGGTCGCAAAAGGGGAGTATACTTCCCCTCTGCGCCGCTTCTTCCGAGGACGCAACTTCTGTGCGCTCTGCTTGTTTTACTGCTAGAACTCTGCTTATTATTTACAAACTGCCACATAGCATCCGGGGAAGGAGTATGAACGATGAGGACGTCCGCGCGCTGGTAAGTCTGGCTTTACTCTGGTTTTAAGTAACACGACGCTTTTCGACTGCGGAGTTGTTTGTTGCATGAGTTTTTTGGTTACTTTTGGTGACGCTTCCGGCTTTTGGTTTAACGTCAGCTAATGCTAGGTGGAGGCGCTCGTGCGCTTTTGGTGGCACGTAGCAGCAGGTTAAACTTTTGGTTTTGAAAACACGTTTCAGATGTTTGTGTTGGTCGTCACTTCGTCGTTAGCATATTTTGGAGGCTTAAGTAAATGATGAAATTGGCTGAACGTGACGGGATGTTGGCGGTTTATCTTTTAGCCTGGTACCTGTATAGGTGGCTTTGAGTGGGCTGACCGCGAACGACACTGCGGACATGTACGACATTTCAGCTGCCACTGCTCTGTGCTCTGTGCGGGCTATGTGCTGGATTTTGGAAGATGAGCAGATGAGTTTTACAATCATACATACTACGGCTTAGATTGTGCTCGCAGCGATTGTGCTATAGCAGCTTGCCTGGGGCTGTGTGGCTGTCAACGCAGCCAGATAAAGCGCGACTGCTGGCACGGCCTGCTGAGGCGTGGTCATATGTAGCCAGTCCTATGAAGTAAAAGGTCGTCGTCGAAAGTGGATTTCCGGATTTTAAACGTAGAAGGTTTAAACTTCTCCGATGTCGTAAGCTATAGTCCATTCAGCGTAATAAGCTGTGCCTTGAAGTATAACTTTGTTCCGTCTTCTCCTGTAATACCCGTGAGAGGTAAAACTGGGGACTTGACGCCAAGCAGTGTCATCACGAACCGCCAAGCGCCGTGACCGTTATACATTCTGCGAAATGTCTTCTTTTCTCGAAAGCTGTCTGATTAATCATATATGGTGCATGGAGCTGCATGTTAGATAACTTATCCAGCCGGGGTTCCTACTTGCCTAAGCAACTCCCCCGTCAGGAGGTCCTCCAGAACTAATCGCAGATGGTTTTGGACGCGTTGCCAAAAGCTGTTTCGCGTTTTGGACAGCTCTGCGTTACCTGCCCCCCGGGGCCCTTGGGGGGCAGGTAACGCAGAGCTCCAAAAGGTGTATTAACACACACATGAACTATACATATAGATTTCCGATGTCGGCTGGGTCGTCTTGGAGCCTGATAGCAACACAAAGCGAATGCGCTTTCCCTCTTTTTACAGCTTCTTATTACCGCTTCCCCCTATATGTAGAGCTCCACCCGAACAAATGCCGTACCTGCCGTACACTAACCAACACAAGCAGGGAAATCCGTACATGCACAGGTCAGACAAAAGGCCCTCAAAACAGTTTTTCAACTTAGCATTGCGGCCATCGTTGCGGCCATCATTGCGGCCATCCTCGTTACGATACCTTGTATCCGGCCCCGCGGGACCCTCCAGCGGGGAGGGGGCGCAAACGTAATGGCAAGCAACCCGTGAGAGCGCCGCAGCTGTCGGAAAAAACATTTTCTGACAGCAACATACCGAAGGAGCAAACAAATATATGTCTGTAACGCCTCAGCAAATAGAGAGACACACATCTTACAACGCATGACACAACAGCAATAAAGCAACGGGTGGCGCAATTCGGTCGCTAACGATGAGGCTCTCCGTCCAGAACTCTTCCTGCAGCCTCTTGTGGCCTAAAGCGCGGATTCCAATACATGGTCCTCCATATAGCCTTTTCGTTCGGAAACATCGCAAGGGGGCAACGGATACTTTATCTAAACACGAATGCTGAAATCCGGTTGTCATGTGCCGCAACCACCGTACAACACTGTAGTGAACACCATTGTCGTACATGGCCGTACATGAATGCGGCCGGCCTCTCACACGTCTGCCGCTTCAGGGCACATCCCCCGCCGCCACTGCAGCAGCAGCCGCCGCCGTTTCCTGAGCGGAAGCGGGAGCCGCCGCGGCCGTCAGCAGCCGTCCACCGCCTCCGCCGCCTCCACCGCTTCCGCTCTCCTCCCCGCAAATCGCCGCCAGAGCCAGTCGCTTCACCGCAGCCAACACCTCAGCGTTACCCTCCTCCAGGTCCGCTGCCTCGGCTGCCTCCTCAACCGCCGCTGCCGTCGCCGCCGCCAGCGGCGCCCGATCCGCTGCATCGCTGCCACCTTCACCACCATCGCCACCACATGGCTGCCTCGCCTGTCGTAACAAGAGACAGGTCTCCGGAGCTCCTTCTGTCGGTCCAGGGGAGTCTCTAACGACGTCGCCGTAGCCGCCCTGGGGGACCTCAGGCCTGCCGGCTGGGGGAGGTGGCGGTGCTGCCGCCGCCGCCGTGGCGAGAGTGCCTGTCGCCGCCGCCCGCGCCGCCGGGACGTGTGCACCGTACCGGATGTGGCGGGGGACCTGAGCCGCGTCGTCCCCGCGGCCCTTTAGGGGGTGGCCGTACTGGGGATGCTTGGGGCGCATCGGCAGCTGTACTCGGATCGGGGTCTGTCTTATTGCGGCACGGGTAGTGTTGTACAACGTCGGCGGCGTCCTCTGACGGCGAGTCTTGGACGGCGAGCCGCCGCTGCTGCTGCCGCCGCTGCCGGCTTTGCCGTGCCCACCGACACCACCGGCGACATGGGTCTTGGCGCCGCCGGCGCCGCCGCTGCCGCCGCCGCCGCCGCCAGCGGCACCGCCGCTGCTGCGCATGACCTCCATCAGCCGGCGGCGCTCATCCCAGGACAGGTCCTGCGCGGTTTTGCCGTGCAACAGAGCAAGGGACAGTTCACAGCTGCCGCCAACAGGAGGAGGGTACGAGGGTCAGAAAACACATAATGCTACGCGACGCTATCCGGACAACAGCTGATAATTAAAAAAAGGTGGACGATAGCCTTTAATTCGCAATTAGAACTAGTTTAACATCAAGGTTGTACTTGCGTCGAGAAGCCGCAAGCCCTTTGAAAAAAGCATTCCAAGAGTTTGTTATAGATCGGTGGTCTCTGAGGTACATGGGGTATCTTGTTCTGTGCGCGCGCTGCGTTGCTTTTGTAAGCAACGCAGCAACTTGAGCAAGGCTTAGCCGCGAGCAGTCGTTCTGCATCATGCTGCACCGTTAGACGTGGCTGATGGAAATTGCCGTCGGCAATCCTAAAACAGAGAGCAGGTAAACCGAAATTTACTAGTTATGTTGGATCAGACACGGACGCGCGTTCATGTGACGGCAACAGACCCGGGGGCCGGTTCGGACGTTCCGGAAGCAGGTCACAAATAAATTTCCGCACCACACCAGCATTTATACTGCACGAGATTTTTCACAGCTCCAGCTATGTTGTAAAATACTCCCGGCTCCAATACAGAATAAATTTGCCAGTTCCCCAGGAAGATAATGCAATCTCACTTGGTATGAAAGCCCCGGGCCGTAGAGCTTGTGAACGGCGTCTTCCTTCGCTTGGCGCCGCATTTTTGGCGTCAGCCGTATGCAGAAGCCTTCTCTTGGGGAAAACAGATGACGACGGAGGTGATGAAGTAGCCGAAAAGGAGGAGGTGATGTGCAAGTACTCGACGGTAAAGCTGCTTCTTGTTCTGTCGACGGAAACCTCAACGAGCGTGGCTGTCCTGCCTTAAGGGAGTCCCGATCTCAATTTCCATGAACTCCTTCCTTTGTGATTTACCGAATCACACCAACCGACGAAAGTTGTTGCCGCACCCCGTCGTACCTCATTATCCCCGTCACGAGACAAGTGAGTTTTTCCTCTGTTAAGGAAGATCTGTTAACGGCAGGGCGCCTGGGTGGACTTTCCTAACACCGTATCTATATCTTTTTGCGGGGTTGGCCCTGTTCATACCAGCTCAAATCCAAAACGGGTCAAAGAGTTTCCGGAACTTCTTGGACTTTGTTGGACTTTGCTTATTTCATTTTTAAGCTGGCAAGCAGACAAGGGATCGCATGATTCATGATTAGTAAGACGGACGAAGTGGGCCCTAGGGTCCAAGACAAGGGCAGGAAGGTGCCTTGACCGACACTTGACAGCCACCGGTGCTGCCACGTTGCACTCGAAGGAGGCGGAGAATAATCTGAAGGAGGGACGAAGAATAGCGGATTAGGCAATCTCCCACAACGTTGGCTCGTTACCGTTCCCTGTACTCTGACAAAAAAGCAGCCTGTCCCTATTCTTGTCCCTATTCTTGTCCCTATTTCTAGACCTTGACAAGTAGTCCCCAAAAGTAGTCGTCCTTCTTTCCTTCCAACGGCCTCAGGCTTATCATTTAACCCTTCCAGACGGACCATTGCCTCGCCTGTCGGCACGGATGCGCCTCTCTGGCTCGGTTCGCTTCTTTTTCCGGCATGTCGTATGTCCTGTCGTTGACTTCACCTGTCCCCATGTAGGAGTCGAGACCCACAGTTGCCTGCCAGGGAGCGACGCACACCTTATTAGGTACACGGCTCCTTCGCCGCTCTCCGTTCGCCGCCGGCCCATATGTACAAACGCAGTCATATTTCATAACCAAGACTCCTGCAAAACAAGACAGCACACTGCAGCTGTGCTGTCCTGTATGTAATGCTAAGGTTGCATTGTGATCCGCATGGAGGCCCTAACGCAGAGCGCTCTCGGGCGACCCCTGAACGCTCGATTGCTACCGGCCGGTAGCTCGATTGCTAAGGCCGGTAGCAATCGGCCTTAGGTATAGAGCTGTATTCCCTCCGATCTCATGTGCCCTTTTAGCGCTATTTGCGCCGCTAATACTGGCCCTTTACGATGACCGGAAACTATGGCAGACATTCCAAGCCAAGGAAAAATGAAAATTATGAAAGATTTCAGTGAAACCGTTTCACAGACTTCAAAACCGCGCACAAGCTTTGAAAATACGAAATAGGTACTGGTACCGTATGGTGCTAGCCGTAAAGGGCTGGAACTAGTTTCCGGCTTACCGGTGCCCCAAGATCTAGACCCCTCCTCCGAAGCCACAGAAACTAGTTTCGCAAGGTCACCGTTCTTCACGGAGATTCAGTTCCATTAGCCAGCTAGCGTCATGAGTTAGGGTAAGAGAAGTGGTGTTCCACCCCACTAAATGTTGGCTGACAGTAGCATGCTTCTATGGTAGGTCAGTTATGCCAGCTGTAAACGTAAGGCATTTTCCATCCCTTGTTACCACGTTTGCTTCGTTGATCATAATGCACGAATGAGACATACATACAAGACTAAATAGATACAAGAAGCAGTGGTGAATGTACGACATTACATGATCAATGGGCTCATTGCAGGGGCAAGGCAATGTCACAGGGTTAAGCAGTGGCATCAGGTGGTTGGGCTAAAGGTACGACAGTCCATTACCCTGGACATGCAGCTACTGGGCCATAACTAAGGGTAACTTGCACCAGTCATATGCACATCTGTCTGGTCTGGGCGACACTACTGCCTTATACAATTTAAGATCCTGGATTCAATTCCTGGGGAGACCCCCAACGTTGTCGGGAGAGTGAGGTTATGGCTATGTGCTGAGATGTGGAGTTGAGATTACAGTTGATGGATTGAGATCCGCACGCTGGATTGGTGGCGATTGCAGAACCCTCTGTCTTTGCGGATGTTCAGGTGAATGGATGAGGAGTGATCCTAGTAGGCAGGATCAACCGCCTTGGACTTCCAGTTCGTATGGTGTAGTACAGTGTGGTAATGGTGGATGGTGCTGTATGGTATGATAAATCGTAGAAAAGACAATGTGTTCAAATGGCCTAGAAGCCTCCCACTCTGTTACAATTCAATTCAATATGTATAAACCAGGATCACACCAATGATGTACAACAGTCCACTGCCCTTGCCAAACAAACATCCCAAAACAATAAAATCCTTCCAACATTGGAAGATACAAGCTTGTATATACAACGCTTAAGCGCCTGTAGCCGATGGACGGTGGTGACCTGGGATGAAGTTGACCTGCAAGCTGACCAGTGATCTGGCAGATTCTGATGGATGCTGGTGGCGCCTGTGGTGCCGGTGGTGCTGAACCTGAACAATCCACTGAGAAGTTGGCTAGATGAGGCCCTATGGCATAAAACGAGGGGTAACCCCTCCTTAAGCATAACCCAGGGGTTAGGGTTAGGGGTAAGTGGTTACCCATGTGGCTATGTACGAAGGGAGGTGGGTAACCTAACCCCGGGGTAGGGGTAACCCCTTACCAAGGGGTAACAAAGGGGTCAGGGTAATATTGTACTGAGGGGTAACAGACAGGGTAACCCGTGTTTACAAGTGTTCCTTGTCCGTATGCCGGGCCATATGCTGGTGTCAATGGATTGTAGGATGTCCCTGTCCAACCTGCCTACACATGCTATCACAGCTGTCTCATCCATCTATGTGAGCACGTATGCCTATTTCGCCTGTCTATGTGTGCATACATATGTGCATGCCTCTCTACACTTCCATCCATGCATATGCCTGTATCGAGCTCACATGTCTACACGTACAAACATACATGTTCACCAAACACTTTTGAGTGTACAATTGTAAAGATTGCCTCACCAACACAAGCCTTGCAGGGCTGTAGAGCCCGCCCATGGCCCCAGGCTCGGTGTGTGTATAAACTCGCTAATTACACCAACAAATATTTCTCATAATATCAAGAGAAAGGAAATCGGACCCAGCCCCCAGATCCAGTTCCATATGATCTGATGTACAGCTCCATACACATGTCTCACTAAACAAGTTGCTGACTCCGATATCTGACGCACACGGTTGCTGCGAGGACATTGAACTTGCTGGCATCACTCTGTGGGTTCATGGGTTTGAAGATGTCGGAGAAAGCCTCAGGAACGCAGGCGGGCACCTTCACGGCCAAGGCCAAGACTCCGTTGTATCACGGCATGCATCATTAGGAACGGATGTGGAAGTTAGGTAATGTTATGATGGCCCTAGACACCCAGTAGGCCTACCTAGGTGTGAATTCAATGCAATATTAATGGTCAATCGAATTGTGCCGGGCTGCTTACCTAATGCACAACTTCGACTTATTGCTCTTGTTGCTGTTAATGGATGGTGTTGCCAATAACAGGCTGTCAAGCACGCGCTTGCAGTCGATGGGCGGCAATTTAAGCTCGGCCAGTAGCTGAAGTGCCCCCTCGCGACCTGCTATGTCCAGCTCCGAGCGGATCACATCTGTAATACTCTCCACGGTCTCCTCATTTTCAGTGCACGCTCTCCTAAGAGTGTCAAGGGTCAAGGAGCTCCAGATGTTTGACCCCAAACACGGTCACAGCCGGTGAAGCGTAAGGCGCCCTTCCAGGCAGATTCTCGGGTGTCACTGGAAGTCTTGCAGGATTAGGTGCACCATAAGCTCGGGCCTGTGCTGCAGGAAGGTCAACACGGTGTTGTGGTGGTCGACCCGCGCTACCACGCCAGCATTTTCGCCGCCATATGCACCACTATTCCATGGGGAATTGTAAATGAGCATTGTGTGCGTAATTTATGTGAACAATGGTGGCAGTGAATACGATCGACCGAGTTGTCGATATTGGTAGTCGCTTAGTTTAGCTTGTCCGTCTTATTAATAAACCAGCCAAGGGGGTGTAGTATATGAATGTAGTTATGATTAATTTGAATGTACCTATTAGGAGTATCCATGGAGGCAAAGCAGCCTGTGTACGACCACGTTGTCGGGTGCACCTGGTAATTTGTCTGCCGACCACAGGACTCATTGCCCAATGTTTTCACAATGAGAACTACTATTTCACAATGGCTAGGTACATTCAAATTTACTGTTAGCTATATTCATATACTACACACCCTTCTCTGGTTTATTAATAAGACGGACAAGCTAAACTAAGTGACTACCAATATCGACAACTCGGTCGATCGTATTCACTGCCACCATTGTTCACATAAACTACGCACACAATGCACATTTAAAATTCCCCATGGAATAGTGGTGCATATGGTGGCGAAAATGCTGGCGTGGTAGCGCGGGTCGACCACCACCAGAACACCGTTGACCGTCTTCCTGCAGCACAGGCCCGAGCTTATGGTGCTCCTAATCCTGCAAGACATCCAGTGACACCCGAGAATCTGCCTGGAAGGGCGCCTTACGCTTCACCGGCTGTGACCGCGTTTGGGGTTAAACATCCGGAGCTCCCGCTGAAGACTCTTGACGCTCTTAGGAGAGCGTGCATTGAAGATGAGGACATTGTGGAGAATATTTCAGATGTGATCCGCTCGGAGCTGGACATAGCAGGTCGCGAGGGGGCACTTCAGCTACTGGCCGAGCTTAAATTGCCGCCCATCGACTGCAAGCGCGTGCTTGACAGCCTGTTGTCGGCAACACCATCTAATACCAGCAACAAGAGCAATAAGTCGAAGTCGCGCATTAGGTAAGCAGCCCGGCACAATGCCTTTCGATTGACCATTAATATTGCATTGAATTCACACCTAGGTAGGCCTACTGAGTGACTAGAACCATCATTACATCACATAACTTACACATCCGTTCCTAATGATGCATGCAGTGATACAACGGAGTCTTCGGCCGTGAAGGTGCCGGCCTGCGTTCCTGAGGCCTTCGCCGACGTCTTCAAGCCAATGAACTCACAGAGTGATGCCAGTAAGTTCAATGTCCTCGTGGCAACCAAGTGAGTTGACATGGAGCGTTGTTGCAGTAGGCAAATCTAAGTGAGGGCAGGCCTAGGCATGTCACATTCCCGACGTGTGCCCTAGGGCAGGCCTGCAGCTCTTCCCTTCCCTGCTTTTCTCCCCATGACGGCCGTACTTCTGCCCTCGCATTCAGGGTTATCAAGGCGGGCATTCTTTGGACCGACATCAGCGAGGGCCTGGCACCCCGGAACGACACCCCTGCTACGACACCGATTCATATCAAGACCATCATAACGCACTGGATGACTGTACTGTGCCATATCAAGACCATTGGCAAGGGCAACCTCCTATCCCTAAAGAGGAACAGCACGGCACGGAAGGAGGTCGAAGCAGCTCTCCTTAAAAGCATGAAAACGTGCATGCAGAATTACCAAGGCGGTAAGTTTGCAAATTGGGGGAATGTACACCTGGGGGTACTAAATCATCCATCGGAAAAGGGACACCCCCAACAATAGCGCACTTTTCAATTTCCCCCCACTTGCAGTGTCAGTTCCCGACATGTACGATGGCTGAATGTGTGTGTACGTGTTCTGGTTCAGGGCTCAAGCCAAAGGGCTATGAGGGCATGTTCAACACGGGAGGTGATACAGCTTAAGGAGCAGGGCACCTGGGAGGAACCGACAGATGACATGCGGCAGAAGGCCGACCAGGAAGCCAGGGAGAAGGCCTTGGCAATCTTGGGGCGCATCAAGCAGAAGGCGGGTTTCGTGGACAAGAAGAAGAATGGTGGGTTTCTGGGATGGGCTTGGAGGAGGATTGACTGGATGGATGGAAAGACTCAATAGTGTGCAGGACACTCACAGCGGTTTTACACTCTTGTAAGCAAGATTTTGATCCCTACAATGTGATCATGATTTGCAGACACAGAGCAGGGCGGCGATGCAGCTGCCGCCGAAGCACCAGCTGGTGCCGAAGAGGTAGCCCCTGTCCAAGTTCCACGACAGCAAGAGCAGCAGAACCCCGCCAACCCGCCGACCAGTGATGAGGGTGACGGGACAGCTGCAGAGATGGGTGAGAACCCCACCACGGAGGAGGGAGAGGAGGTGGAACGAAAGAAGCCCCGTGGCAGGAAGCCGACATCCAGCTGGCTGTAGCAAGCGAAAGGAACCGCCCCCAACTGAGGCTTGTGCAGAGCAGGCAAGGACCAGCTGCCGCTGTTGAGGGTCAGTTGATCCACGGATAGGCAGTGAGTGAAGTGAGTTGTGCTCTCAGGGTTTTGGTTCGGCTTAAGGGTTTTGTTCAGAGTTGGGCACTAGCTAATGTTAAAACCCTGATATATCTGTTGCCACCTATAGTTATCCTCTCGGTTTCTGTCATATGACAGTTATTACACATAACCTTCAATTTTGCCATCCCGTTTCCTTGCATGCAAAGCAGGTCTGGACTCTAGAGTCCCCGTGGTGGAGACCTCGGATTAATCAAATATTGGAGTCAGCAACTCGTTTATTGAGACATGTGTATGGAACCGTACATCAGATCATACGGAACTGGATCTGGGGGCCGGGTCTGATTTCCTTGAGAAATATTTGTTGGTGTAATCAGCGAGTTTATACACACACTGGGCCTGGGGTAAATAAACAACGCCTTTACACTGTATTCAGCATGATCCTGAAATATTTTCCCGTTTCAATAATTGCATAATGATTATGCCCAATTGAGAGGAAGCTGAGCATGCAATGAGTACCAATGTCAATATATTCGGAACCAAACGCAAGCGTGCTAGGCTTATTAGGGAGCACGGTGTACGCAGAAGTACCACCGCTGCAAACCGCAACCCCCAAGTGCCGCGCCGCCCCCAAAGGCAGCACGACCAACCTACCACTGTAGAACCTACCATTGCAGAAGAAGACATTTATCAAGAAGATGCGCCAACGGACTTAGGCTGGATACCGGATGATCACCCGCATGTGGGACAGGCTGACATTGTTTGAATGACAGCTGCGGCTGATCATGGGGCATGTGATTCAGACGATTACAACGAGGACAGCGATGATGCTGACGAATTAGATGGCGCTGGCGGAGCGGGCACCTCTTACGGACTCACGTTCGATCCCCAACTCGCTAGTCTGTACTTCCATCATCTTCCCGATGTGAGTGCAACCCGTGCAGCTCTGCTGGCGGCAACGCATTCTGCACTGCAGAGCGCCGTGGAGCGGTGCAGCGATGAGGCCGCCTGTCCCCGCTGTGGTTCCTCAGGATATTGTGATGGCCTTTCTCCTATCCCCATCACGGTCGTCTGCTGGGAAACCCATGGCTATCAGCCTTCCCCAACTGATCTGCATGCACTGCCGTGCACCTTTCACCATTCGGCCAACGGCTGTCGACTGCCTGCCGGATACAGCAACCTCATGGGACCCGTGTGATTTTCGACTGACCCATGGGTCGCCTCCTACCAAGCACCCAGTCCCGCACACAGAGAACCTAGCATCCGGACCAAGTACGCGTTTATAACCAGCTGTTTTGCATACGGAGTAGCTCCAATAATAAAAGCCCGTATGCAGAAGAGCACGTCGAGATCCGTAGTTCGGCTGACCCAGTGGTCGCCTCCTACCATGCCTTCAAGCCCACCCAGCGACGCATCTTCTGGATAAATGTTTTCTTCTGCAACGGTAGGCTCTGCAGTGGTAGGTTGGTCGTGCTGCCTTTGGGGCCGGCATTTGCGGGTCGCGGTTTGCAGCAGTAGCACTTCTGCGTACACCACAAGCCTAGCACGCTTGCGTTTAGTTCCAAATACATTGAGATCGGTACTCGTTGCATGCTCAGCTTCCTCTTAATTGGGCATAGTCATTGTGTAGTTCTTCGAACGGGAAATTTTATCCTATTGCTTGCGTACACGGAACCAGAGAACACAATTTCAATTCTTGATAATCTTTGGTGGTATATTTGTCAGTGGGTAGCGGAAGTGCGTCCCACCTTAGCGGAATATACTCATATTTGGCCTCCCCACCGCGCCCAAAGGCGGGAGGTGGGCATTGGTTCATAGCTCGAACCAATTGAATATTAACTGCCTATTATAATTGCTGTCTATGAAACAGGTACCTATTCTCTCAACAGGTCGATGTTCCAGTTCGATATCTACTCGCTGCTCCCGAACTTCTCAACTTCGAGGGTTCAAATGGAAGGAATACTCATGTGGCACATCACTACAACCTCCGCTCACGTAGCACGTGGTCCTTCAGCACCGGGGCAGAGTCTAAGCACCGTGCAACAACCGGTGAAGGCACCGGTATGTGTATCACTGGTATGTGTTGTATCACGTCTTTTGCAGAAAAAGAACCGATTGGCGGATGACAGATCCCGTGATACCCAGGAGGATACTTCAGTATGCCATAGAGCACATGTACACCTATACGACATCATCATGTCATTTCAACCTTATTGGCAATTTATGGCAGTTATGTGACCATGCCCGGTGGTTACCCATGATGGTTACTGGAACCGAGGACGGTTACTGGCTAACGGTCCATCCGGTAATCCTACCGGCCCAGTAACCGAGGCATGGTGATCTCGGTAACTGGGCCTGTAGGGTGGCAACTGGGCCGGAACCGGCCTGATGTAGGCCTGATGTAGAGAGTCATCCCTAATCTTCTCCCTGAATTTTAACTAATTATAGGCATGGACTGTGGCTCAAAGCCAATGGTGCACTACTAGATGTACCAGGACTCCAGGACTCTCTTGTTTCCTCTGCACAACAGCCAATGGTTCCCGCAAATCTATCCACATGTTTTCACGTGGTAAGCAGGGTGCAGGTAAGTCCAGGGATACAGACCATGCAAACAGTCTGCGCAGTACTCGCAGCTAAAACAACACCTAGCCTCATGTCGGCTAGTGCTACATGATGAGTGATTAAGAAGAATCTACCTGGCATGTTGGTCGTTATCCAGAAGGTTCAGGGAGCCAATCGCTTCTCACATTCCTCCCCCACTAGAGTGAACCCTCAGGCGGCGGACATATCCCATAGCATTGTAATTTCGATATCGCGTAGGATTATGCTTAAAGACATTTCTTCCCCGTCCGAGATGAAGGTCTGCTTATTTTTTTACTCAGCTGCGGCTGGTAGACTTACTGCCCACTCGGGTATCCGCCTTGGGCCAAGTAGTATATGGCTGGCATGCACTATGTTCGTAACCGGACCCAATCCGGGGAGATCCTACCTCCTAGCAATACGCACCAGGCAAAGAGTTGATGCTACAGGAGCCGATCCATCTCACAATCAGGCAGTTAAAATGTGCCTCCTTTCAAATGGTGCATCAGGGTTGGTAAATATATTTCCTCACCTTCTGCTTCTCAGTAGCAAATCAGGTCCAGGCTGCTCTGTGGCCAATGGTAAATGTATTAAGGCCGTGGGGGCTTCAGCACGCCATACTGCAAGCCTTGAACTTTTCGAATGATGATCATATCCTTGGGAGGACCTGATGCTCTGCACGCTTCCAGGCTTCCTCAATCACAGCTTCCTTTCAACCTGCTGAGCTCGTCGAAGATGAAAAATCTCTTGCCTTCATGCAGAAGCCTGTTAAACTTCCCTCGGTCCGTATCGCCGTGATCGTTAACAGGTGCCCCAGCGCGATAGCCTGAAGCCAACATTTCAAATGGCGTTGGCGCTTCACACCAGGGCTCCAGAACATAAAAAAGACGAGCACCGTCCTTACTTTCCCTTGTCATCTGTGAATTGCGTGTCATAAACGCTCGTTGGGGACGTGTGGATTGGCGCCAGCATGTAGTGCTCTTCAAACCAGTGGATGTGAAGGCAGGGAGGCAAGGAAGCAGAGGATGCGCATCTTCACCAAATTTCTTTTCTGTATCCAGTTCATAATGGCTATCAGCACGGCCGTAAACAAGTGTTTATAACAATGACGCTGCTGGCTCCATCGCGGCGGCGGTGGCTGATGTGGTACGAGTGAAAAGTTGTAAGGAGCGAAGCGATGAGACAATTTCAACAGCTAACCAATGGCGGATTTTTACAAGTTTATATTGAGACAAACGCTGTGGTATCGTGTCAGTATCCGTATTTGCACATCGGGAGATCGATCAAGATCCAGTGGTTTCATGCTTTCACCAATAGCAGTCCCACAACACGTCCGTATGTTATTCTTTTAAATTTGAATATATTACAACTTTCGCAGCACCAGGGCCGCCTACCTGAGAATAAGGAATGTTCGCTCATTTTTGTTGTGTAGCTAGGCGGGGGGCGGGCGGAGTAGCGGGAAGCCCAGCCATGGATGAACAACAGGCTGGCTTTTTGACGTTCTTATTTTACGCAAATATGTTGCGGATACATGCCGCTGTTAAGCTCCAACAAAATTCATGACGTGACATAATGAGGCCTCTGTCATCCTTTCTTATGCTTTCGGCATGAAACCGCCTTTCATAGAAATTTAACATTTTATAAGGTAAGGGATTAAGTCAGGCGAAATGTAGCGGTGCAGCGGTTTTCCAATACGCATCTTGTTCAAAATTTCAACGCGTTGACACATGATGCACATGCCACGTCAACTGGGTCAGAGCCGTTGTAGCAGACTACCACAACACCCCAAACTTAAAAGGCATTGATAGTCAGAATCAAGTATCTTCCCTGTACGACCTGGGTGAGCGCGCGATGTCAGAGTTTCAGAACCGAGCGCAAAGGCATAGCGTTTCATGCACCGCAGCGCTGCCTATGCGTCTGTTTCCTTTCTTACGATGCCATGATAGCGGAGACGAACGGACATTCGTCCGGTCCAGAGCCGTCATAGCAACATAACAGGCATTCATTGTCATCCCCTGTGTTTGCCTGACTTTGTCGTCCCGGCGGTCAGCCAACAACTTTTCACCCAGGAGCTTGCCGCTTGCCACGGCTAAGAACTATGCGATGTAACTGTGCTTTGATCCCCTACTCGTAATAGGTTTGTCTACAAGCTCACTTAGAGACTACGTTCTAACCCCGCCGCATCGGAATACATTTTTCCTGTACGAGCGGAACCAGGAACGTGTGAGGTTCAGAATCGAACGCCAAGACAGAAATCACCGTTCAGATGGTTAAACCTCCCCGTACATGATTCCTACGTACCGCTCCGTGCCCTGCCTATGCGTCTGTTTCCTTCCTTACAATGCCGTGATGGTATCAACGAACGCACTTTTTACATCCGGCCGGTGCAGAGCCGTCATATCAGCCTTTCATATAAGGCATGTAACATGCATTCATGGTCATGAGCTGTGTCTGCCTAACATCTTCGTGATGGTGGTCATGGCGGCGGGGGACCATCAAATTTTCACCCATGACATTACTGCCACGGCTAAGCAACATGAGTTTTTACTGTTTGTTCATCGCCTAGTCATATTTGGTTTACCTACCGAGCCGATTTCGATACCACCTCGTGTCACCGCCGTATCAGAGATGCGATTGTTACAGTGGACCCCGAACGGGTCGAGTACAGCGCCGTATAAGAAAACACTTTCCCGGTACGGTACAAGCGGGACGACGAGCAACGTATGAGGTTCAGAACCGAACCCCAACGCAGCAAAACGCCATTTTTTTGTCCACGATTTAGACATATCGTGGACCATGCATTGTCTTTGCGTGTCTTTCCATCCTTACGGCACCAATCGCGTCGACCAACTCACTTCCAAATGTCCACGAACACTTGTTAGTGCACAATTGCCCCCACAACACATGCCTTGTCTGCCTGCCCTAGGGCAGGCTCGTGCAGGGCTGTACAGCCCGGGCATGACCCCAGACCCTGTGTGTGTGTCTCTAGTCACAAAAACATTTTCATCCTCGCTAGAGAAGGGAAGTCAGACCCAGCCCCGGACCCAGTTCCGTGTCTCACTAAACAAGGTGCTGCTGCCAATCCAAAAATGCCTCCCACCGTGCACGGGGGCTCTAATCTGCGTGAAGGGAGGAGACAGAAGGGCAAAATTGAAGGTTATGACAGCAACCAGAACCTGCTGTGTACACTGCATCGTCGTAGACAACAGCGGCAGGGGAGACTGTCGTGGCAAATAAGTTTTCGTTTTTGGCGGAGTCTTTGCTTTGTAATTGTCCGATGTCACAGGCACGCACAGCAGTGGATACAACATTGGAGATTGTGCGGCAGTATTCAATCAAGCTTCCCATTTCGCTCACGGCATTGCTGTCGCCAAATTGCATCCGCCGAGTCAACCGGTTGATGCCGAGCGTGATGTTGACCTCGGGTGCACTTGATGCACGGACGGAGTTCTGTGGTGCGCCAACAACCATCATGCGGGTATTCTGAATAAGCACTTGTAACTGTTGTCGCACGGCCCCGCAACGACACCGACAAATAGTCGTCGCCTTTTGCAACAGCCAAGCTAAAGCTCTGGACCCAACACGACTCCTCCTTGTCTCGTCCATCACCAGAATTATTCCACGCAGTCGCCGCCTTGTAATTGCTTTCTGAGAGCTCGACATCGTATCCCACAATGAGTGCGATAGCTCGGTGTGCAAATGAGCAACTTTTGTTGTATATTTTACGTCGACGTGATAGCAAATCCGTGGCATTGGCATGGTGCCGCACCTGCTAACCGTACCAACCGCACACATGCGAGGTTGGTGCACATCCGTCCCCCCATCCACCTTCAATATGTACTGTTGCGCCAGTAACCTTTTTGCCATGCTTTTTTCGTGCGGAATCCTAGCAAGGCGTACCTCACGATGCAAGACATGGTGCCAAGTTATCCGCACGTCGCAGCCGCAGTCCGCCGGGAGCAAGAGCCACCCCGTCGCACACTGCGGCCATAAGCATCAGTCCGCAGGGGGAATCCCGCCCTTACAGATACCGGCGACACAACCGGCTTCATGGAAGCAGCTAGTAAACCGCCAAACTAACCCGGGGCCACGTTCACGCCACGAGCAGCATAGCGAGGTCCTTGGGGTACTCCTCGCTCGCTGAGATGCGCACAGTCTCAAAGAAGGCCGCCAGGCTGGAGCGGATGCTGCACAGCACGACGAACGCCAGCCGCTTGGGCAGCCCGCCGTGCTGCTGCGCTTTGTGGATGCAATTCATGTATTGCTGCTTGGCACGCCGGTGGCCTGACGAGAAGCCCAGCGCCGAGCAGAAAGGCACACCATGCGACAGGAGCACCATGTTGAGCAGAAGGCGGCACATCCTCCCGTTGCCGTCTTCGAAAGGGTGAATGGTGACGAACTCGTAGCTTAGCCATGCAGCCAGCGCGAACGGGTCCTCCGTTTCGGAAGCTGCTCGGGCATTGTAGTTAGCCAGCAGGCGGACCAGCGAAGGCTGGACGAGTTCAGGGTGCAGGAAACGGTGAAACCCCGCGTGCGCGAGGCTGTCACGGTATGACCCAGCGTTGACAGGCTTGCCGTCTTCGCAGACCATGCCGTCCATCAGGATTTTGTGCGCCGCCAGAACGATGTCGGGAGTGAGCGGCTTCTTCTCCACCACCACGTGCTGCTTGAGGAAGATGAAGGCAGCTGCATGCTGCACCACCTCACAAGTTGACTTCCCGCTGCTGCCGCTGCTACTGTAAAGCAAACATGGGTCCAGCGGCTGCCCTTGGAGGATTTTGCGGACGAGAGAGGCAGTGTTTGACAAGCCGAGCCCCGCCCCCTCAATCTGATTGGAGAAAAAGATGGAGCAAATTACGGACCATTCTATATGATCCTGCAGAAGCGCTGCTGCTATGCCATCCGGCGGTATCTCCTTCAAACTTCTCAGGTAGGCCTGCACCATGCACCAGACACGTTCCGGAGAGTCTTCTTCCCAAGGGCAGTGGTAGTAGTTACTACTCATGAACTCAAGCATGTTGCTTGCAAGTCCTTTTCCTTGTCCTATGTCATGTTTGAGAGAAAAGGAGGGCTACAATTGTATTTAGGAAATGGCAGCTTTGGCAACAGACGCGAAAACACAACACTTGAAACGCTCAAATTGAACAGTTGCTGCAGCTTTTCTTCGAATTGATAGGCACGACGGCAGTACGTCCGGGGGCCCATCAAGTGCCCGACCGCTAGCGCATCAACATCAACGGTGACGTGGGAGGGCAGCCTACTGTCTTCCAAGTGCCGCGAAGTTCCCTCTTAAACAACAGGAGGAACCTAGAACTCCAAACCCCAACAGCCTATACCCAGCCAACTCGCGACATACACAGACAGACATACAGATCGTCATCTCAACGCTGCTTTACAATGGCACATCCACGTACGAATACCCCAGTAACGCCGCCACCACAACCACAACCACCACAACCATTACCACGACCACAGTATCTAACCTCTGCCTCTCACGGCCAACACCTTCCAGTGCCTCACGACTACTACAAAGACCAAAATGTGTTGTCGGCTTCGTCCCCCCGGCCGAACCAAAAAACACACATGACACAGCCCAGCGAGGAATCGACCGCGTGCCGTACCGTGCCGCATCAACTGTCGCTCCGTTTCCCCCGTCTTTAGCCGAGGTAAAAACCGCCCTAAGGAAGCCCTCGTGTTGAGCGAAACAACAGCCGCATGCATGTGTATTTATGTATGTAAGTATGCGTGTGTCCATAGCTGAGAGGGCGAAAGCTAGACAGGTTTTGGGGGTGCCGGAAAGAGGGAAAGCACGGCCATAAACGAAAGCAACCGAAATTGAATAACGCCCTGGCAGCGCCAGGGCCGTGGTAACCAGAAAAGGAGATATTAAGTTTGAAGAAACGGAGAAAAACGGAAAATCCCCTTTCATCATCGTTACTATAACGTACCCGCGTACATCCCGCTGGCCAGATCTGAGGAAAGGGAAGGACTTTTTTTGTGACTCAACTGACAAGGGGGATTAGGAGAGACGCGCCGGCAGGTAAAGTGTTCGTGGTGGTTGCAGCATTTTCATTTATTTAAAAAAATAGCTACAGCTAAGTAATCAACCTGAATTGATGACAAATCGACAACTGACAACCAAGAGCAGCTACCTGTTTAGTTGGCTTTTGCTGTTCCCGGCAGCGGTGTTCCTGGCAACGCCCCGTGTTGGCGATGGCGACTTTGCAAAAGGATTACGACTCGACGAACCTGCTAATAGCAGCTCGTTCTCCTCGCGAGGGTTCAGCTCCCTTGACTTCCTTCGTTACAAAACCATGTACAAAACCATGAACCAAGCTCGCAACGCTCCGTAGGCGGCGTGACGTGTACACGCCCCTCGTAAAAGGCCACCAACCAAAACACACCGATAGCGCACCTTTCATTCATCACCTACAACCCCTCCTTCAATCCCTGCTTGTCTCAACCTCAACTGAAATCTTTCCACGCCGGTTCATTTGCCCCCACCACACCACTGCAAACCCCTCTACCACATCCTCCGTGCCTTCCCTCCCCTTTCCACACACACACACACACCTCTACCCACCCACCCATCGTGAGCCCCTTCGCTCATGGCGACGAGACACCCTACGTCGAGGCGTCGAGGCGTCGAGCGCATTGCAAGAGACATCCTACGTCCTGCGTGAACTTGCGAACTGGACGTCTTCCCCTCGGTCTCCCTCCTCCTCCCAAATGAAAGGAAAACTGCCCTAAGTCCTAATAAAAAATGGCGTGGCCGACTCCGCAAGCGCCCATCGGGAAAACAACAAGAGAGGAGAGGAAGACGGGGGGAAGGGGGAGGCGGGGGACGTCCCATCTGTAAACAGAAGAAAAGAACCTCCACCATCACCACCACACACACAGACACACACCTTCGCGTCCCGTAAAGCACATGTAAGACAGATTGCACGTAAGACAGAGCCTTCCTGCTTGCGTCATCCAGCGACAGAGCAATGGCCCCTTCCTACGGCTCCTACTAACCGCCACTAACATCTAAACGCAAGACAGGCGCAAACAGGCGCAAAGGCGTTGAGAGTGGCTATGTATGTGGTGTCTTATGTCGAGTGCGCGTGGCGGCAGGATCAATTTTCGAGGAGAGATCTATTTTCGTCTCCTTTCCTTTCCTATTCTATCCAGCCTTCCGCAGACATGAAGGAAAACACACCCGCGTCTTAGTCCTCCTCTACCAGTGCCACTGTAACGGCAGCAGCGGGGACGCCGCCTGCGCCGCCTCCGCCGGCGGCCGCGTCTCCTGCCTCTGTAGGACCTGACGGACCCGCCGGTGCCGCTAGATGCTCCATGGCTGCGGCTGCGGCGGCGGCGGCGGCGGCATCCGCTGAAGGCGTAGACGCCGTCGCTGCCGCCGCCGCCGCCGGCCACCCCGGCAGGTTGGCCTGCAGCAGCGGCAGCGCCTTTCTCTTCGCCGCCGCCGCCGCCGCTGCCGCGCCGCCTGCTCGTTGTCGTGCCTCCTGCGCCAGCCAAATCCGTACGGTCTTGTCGTCGGAGGCGGAGGCCAGCATGTACGGGTTAGTGGGGTTCCAGGAAACCGCGTTGACAGTGCCGTTGTGGCCGCTGAGCTTGAGCAGCTGCTCCCCCGTGTCTCGGTGCCAGAGATAGAGCTGCGTTTGTGTTTGTTGGGGCCATGTACCAGAGGGGAGCCGGTGCGTGTGTGTATGTGTGTGTGTGTGTGTAAAAAGGGTCGAGGGTAGGGCCGTGAAGAATAAATGGGACGTGGACAGGCAGGTCATGTGGATGTGGAGAGAGGGTGAGGTAGGGTTTAAAATACCCCTCCACCCCACCCCACCCACACACCGCCTGTGACCCTCTCCCTCCCCCAGGAACCCACCCAGCGACTGGAGGGCCAACCCTCAAGAGACAGACAGACAGACAGACAGAGAGCACTCTCACCAGGCCGTCCTCGCCCCCGTGTACGACAAACGTATTGTCACTGCCTCCGAAACCGCATCGCAATACGAACCGTACTGGCTCGCCGTTGGAGAACCGGTACACGGCCGCGGGGGCTATGGGTAACGAGTCGAGGGGGTCTGGGGCTGCGCAACAGAACGGGGGGGGAGGAGAGGTGGGGACACTGTACGATGGTGGTGATGCTGGTGATGCTGGTGATGATGATGCTGGTGGTGATGCTGGTGGTGATGGTGGTGGTGTGATGGTGGTGGTGATGCTGGTGGTGATGCTGGTGGTGTGATGGTGGTGATGCTGGTGGTGTGATGGTGGTGGTGATGGTGGTGGTGATGATGGTGGTGTGATGGTGATGCTGGTGGTGATGCTGGTGGTGATGGTTGTGATGATGGTGATGATGGTGATGATGGTGGTGACGATGGTGGTGATGGTGGTGATGGTGGTGATGGTGGTGATGGTGGTGATGATGGTGATGATGGTGATGATGAGGATGAGGATGATGGTGATAAATTGATGATGGTGATTTGATTATAGAAGTAGAAGAAGATCCGACCACCCCGACACACACCCGCCGACATGGAC